ATTCTCTCTCTCTTTCTCTCTCTCTCTCTCCAAACTTATCATGGTTGAGTAGATCTATTAAGCCATCTATTATTTCCCGCATTTTTCAACCACTGTGATCAGATAACTAAACTAACAAGATATCTGGACTCGCTTATTAAGACTAGAATTTTTAATCAAACGGTCTGCTTAGAAAGTAAAGTAATGTATAATGTATTCAGAGTGGTGCCGACCCACCTTGACTGGACATGTTCTTATACCAATGTACATGTAGGTAAGATAATTTTTGGATATCACTGCAAAATTGCCATTTACTATTTACTATACACAACAGACCACGTGCTTAGATGTTAAAATATGGAAATCTATTGTAACGCGACTGAGTACAATTACAGTGGTGGTTTTTGGGGCCTACACGGGGAATAAGTTGATTTCCCATGGTTAGAGATCGTTCCCGCACGATTTTGCCGAAAAAGAGTAAGCGATTTAAGACGTCATTAAGGTATTTTCATTTGAAATGCGCTTCGGGATGCTAAGCTACATTTTCGTCCCAATGGTTCTATACTGGTAAGTAGGAAGTGGGGTTGTGGAGCAAAACTTCTTAAAGTCCTGATGTCGCCAAAAACACTGTAACTTGATTTTGCCGATTTCCTTCCATAGAATATTCATATCTTTAAACATGGGAACAAACAGATTATGATTAAAATAGTGTACTACATCGTACTAAGATAGATGAAGATAATGCACTGCTTGGATCATTGTAAGATTTAAGTGAAGTCATTGTTCTTGTCACACTGTGAAAATATCAACTTAGTCACGCCGGGACAATCAAGTTTTTTAACTACGTCAGTATCTGTTCATAAAGTAATGAATGAGTTGTGTTTCCCAGAGGCAGTAGTTCTATAGAATCATTCGATCCATTGTTCCTCAGGAAAGCAGCAAACAAGATGAACATAACCGTTATTATGTATTAGTCCCTCAATCTAGCAAGGGATCTTCACAACAATTTTACAATTTCGGAATTTGAAAAGTCTTGTCTATTCTACGCCTGAGATTTTCACCATAAAATAAACTCTTTTAGTGGCAACTCGTATACATGAAGCATGTCTCGGGAGCATAATGAAAACATGCCAACATGAGTTCTAGAGGCTACATTTATCTTCTTCCCATGATATATAAAAAACAGACAGAATCAAATAAAAAAGGCCTCAATTGTATTCAAATTGGGAGTGAACAACGCACAGATTTCAAATTATTCCCTGAGGTTCCTCCTAAATGTGCAGAAGCAGGTTTTAATATTTCCCTTGAAACATTAGCATGAAACTAAAATAGCGTTTTTTGCGTTTTTGACAAGATTAAAGGTTTTATAATAACGTAAATTTTGGAAGTTTTTCTCTATATTTTTAATCCCTATCCATAGCCTTTGCTTTCATTTGTGATATCTGGTCTTGTTCCGTTAGGCTGCCAATACGTTAGCAATCTAAAGGCATTGAGTGTATGTGGCAACTCGTTTCCTTGGCATTTAATCCTCGGATGCATGACTTGTTACGCACAGGTGTTTAGATAACACTTGAACTTTGGGCACCTTTCTTGTATAAATTGATCAGCAGGCAATTTCACTGAAATACATCCTTTATAGATACATTGTTATAATAGGGATCGCAGTTGATTATCAGTGGTGTTGGGGTTTGCAGACTGCAATTACGAAGCTGCCCACGTCGTTAAATGCTAATTTTGTTTGGACAAAGTAATGAGAAAGCTTTTAGTGTGGATATTTGGTGTGGCTAGATATGCCAAATCAAGTTCATACTGGCTGCCATCTTATTTCACAGATTCAATTTTGGGAACTGATTGGTATCAGTAGCTATCTTTGTGTGTCACGTGCATTTGGATCAAATTAGATTATTGTTCCGTTGTATCGTTTTTTTTTATCATATGTTTTTAAAAAGGTACTTATATACGCAGTCAGTAGATAAAGACCATATGCTGGGTACATACAGATACATATACATGTATGCGATGATATGTACACTGTACTCAACGTAATTTGAAGGCAACTGCTTCACAATAACACAAATGATGATGTAAATATTGATGAAAATATGCCGTTCGTGTTTTGGCAAAGGTGTAATTATCCATCCACCAAGTCCATTGTATTCCAACAAAGGTCATCCGATAATCTCAGTGTTAGAAACCACGTAAGGATAATTCTGCATTTTATTATTAACTAAGCTGTCAGATGCCCTGTTGTCACTGTTACATTATACAAAAGCCGTAGGCGAAAATTGAAAAGACAATTTTATTTCAAACATAAAAAGATTAACGCATTTTCATGTTTACAGGAAGAGAACGTTAACCATCCGAATCAAAAGAAACTAGACAAACCAAAAGAAAAATAAGTGTTCTACTTCAAACAACAACTGTAAATGATGTGTTGAAATACAGACCCAGATACTAGACACTGAAGAAGTCTGATACCTGTATTTGCACGTATACTGAAATAAAAGTAGCCTCTAAACCTCTAAGACTTATTCATTTGCTTGCATTGTAATACAAGAGCTTGTCATAAGATGTTATTGTCAAATGAATACACGCTGTGCGCATTTGGTGTTGTCCTACATACATTCATTTGCTTCACCAAACTAAAGAATATACATGTACGTCAGGTGCTTCTATACAGTTAAGGTACGGGTTTTTGGTGGGTAGGAAGCTATAAGATGTTAGAAGTACTAGTATAAGGTTCCTAGCAAGTGCACATGACCAGGGATATAAATAAGGGTGTAACATGTCTTTCGAAGGTAAGATCAGTCATTGTGCGAAGATGGATGATTAAATAGATTACAAATGCAGAACATGGCCCTAGCTGAAGGTCGACCTATTTCAATGTATTATCCAAGAGATTATGAAACATTTCATCATATTGCATTAATGATAAAGCTACAGCTGGTTTTTATTACACATTTTTGTCATTTTAATGGTGCATGCTGGGAGAGTTATCATCACACAAAAAGATATAATTAAAAATGAACGAAAACATGCGTTTTATAAAATTTTAATAACATAATAACATGTAAACTTTGCACAATACGTTCCACTTGATGTTTAGACTCGGACTCATTACGGTTTTACAGCGTTGCTTCAAAAATTGAAGCAATTAAAACAATCACATATCAAAGACAAACAACCCATAACGAATTTGCCATAACATAGTGTTGCGTGGCACCTAGAAAACCGTATGTCCCAGACGTGACTTTTCTCACGAAATCAGAAGACATCAGCTGTTTGTTTCCAATCACAAATTGTTAGGGAAAGCATAAAGTGTGACTCACGAAACCATATAAGGAACGTGCATGTGATATGCGGCTTGTAATAGCGTGTCTTCCGATGTTTTTTTCAGGCAATCATTACCACATTGTACCTACAAGTTTCTGCATTAATCAATGGACTTTGATTAGCTCTTTTTTATATCCTGTTAAGGAATAAACAGTGCAATGTACAACACCATCCAGTATTATTTTTCAAACTCAGCTAGAAAAATACTACACGACTGAGTTACTTTAAGCGATAACAACAGTTTTGGGCCAAAATGGATTTTTCTGGGGTAAATTTCCCCATACTTACCTATGGTTGATGAATCCGTTCTGTCATTCAAAATAAATCCTTTATATTGTAATAATCTCTTAAGCTAGCTAGAATTCCAACTATTGTTAGCTTGCAGCCAGCCTGGTCGGAGGCCTTCATCAGACTGATTGAGTGGATGTTGTCACTTACTGACTGCTACCGTTTGTAACAAAGGCACTACATGTACAAGTACAGACAGACACCTGTTATCTGATAGCTCACGTAACCATCAACTTGAAATCAGTCCTCTGCCGTTTACGGTATAGTTGACTACCTTGATGCATCTTCAAACCCTTAAGGTACAGGTAAATGCATACGGTTGTACATGACAGCTAAAAAAACACCGACGATAAAATTATCCACAATGACCAAATCCTATTTTCCTCAAATGACTACTACCGGTACTTCTATTATTGGCATTATTGCTTTTAGAGCTGCAACCTTAACCACAACTACTAGAAATACTACCACTCCTACTTGTAATAACGGTTTTGATGATAAAAAGAAGAACAATATTAGCAAAAATGTCTAGTTTTTTTAAACCAACAATCAATTTGTTGTACAAATAATGAGTCTTTAGATGTCTTTTATCAATCACTGTGTCAAAGTGGTGTAAATTTACTGAATGAGCTATATATATATATATATATATATATATATATATATATATATATATATATATATATATATATAGTCCATTTGTTTACTTGACAGAAGGAAGCAGGGGCTTATCCCCTTTTCCGGTGTAACAGGAATGGTATCCCGCTAGGAACCGTAGTCCGCTTCCCATTACTTTGTACAGGTGACATTGGTCCAATAAACTAACTCCAAAACTCCACCTAACCCTAACCTGTACTTATCATAGGGGAACCCAGATTTCCATTCCTAGGACTTCCATTCCTGTCACACCGGGACAAATTGACCGATCCATCCCTATTCCTTATCATAAAGGGTGAAAAGAGGGTGTGAGGCCTAAATACAAGAAAAAACCGCCAGTTAGATCATTTCTATGTTTTATTTCTCTCCATGTAGAATGAAAGCGAAAGAATAATTCTTGATTTGTTGGATTACTTTTTCACAATTGACCTCACGAGGTCCTTAACTGAATTTTACCATCCTTTATTTCAAGTAATTAATTTCATCCTTTATTTCAGTCCTTAACTGAATTTTACCATCCTTTATTTCAAGCATTGGACTGCTTGTTTGGGTCATTTATTGCTTGATTAATCGCATTAGCCTCTTTGTATGGATTACATCTTATTTTTTGCAAAAACACCCATTAAGCCAGTTGATCGACTTAACTGCATACTAAATGTATGTTATTGCGTCTCAAAAGACCGAAATAATAAATCTCAGCTGTCGTGTCCAACAGAGTCTAATTTTTACTCAAGACATTTTACCTGCGTTGCAGCCAAGCATGTCTATATTGAATCTTACTCATCATGTTTTTTGTCTTCTTTTTCTGGCATTTTGCAAACTAAGACCATTGCATATTATTTCCGTAGATACCAAATATTACACTTGCTGAAACGAAAAAAAATTTTTTTGGAGAGGTTCAGCTCTTTCTCTCTTTTTTAAATGATAGAGCAACAGAAACAGCCATTTTGTTTTTGGGGAGACACTTCCAGATTCCTACATGCGCCTAAACTACTAACAGTTGTTGAAAATTGTACTTTCCCTGTAGCTATCAGCTGTATTCATGTCATGGAAGACCGAAAGGGACCTAAATTGAACTAGCGGTTTGCCTGGGTGAGACACATGTTCATCTTTAATTTACTCGTTGAAAGATTTTTAAGATTGAATTGTAAATCTTGGGAGGTAAATAAGCTATCATGGCTTTTCTTGCAAAATTCATAAGGCGAAATATTCAGTGATGTGGCAACTAAGGCGATATATCATTATTGATCGAGCTACAGTACCAAGGAAATTGCCTGCGTTAACTTTTCCAAATGATATTTTTACCTAAAAGTACACGCTGACCATACGAATTAATCCCAGGACATCGATCTCTCATCATTTCATCCTGCAGGTAATTCTATATGCTCAGTGACAGCGATGACCTAATAAAGTGAAGAAATTGCGGTTATGTTCGCGTGCACGGTTACCCTAAACAATATGTATTCATGCTTCAGTATTTCAGAAAAATAGTTCCATTTGCAAAATTCCTAAAACAAGTATAAAAAATCGATAACATGGTTAAATGCAAATTCAAAAAATTCAAAATAGTGATCGATGAAGAACATATATGTACGTGTTCCAACACTTATTAAGTACCGACATTTAATTTCTCATCCGACTTACGTGTGTTTTTGTATGTGCGAAGTGCGAAGTGTGAAGCGAAAAAGAAATATACAGGGCAATGTACACAGTTTCATCCTAAGAAACATGGCATTGGTCGCTTCAGAACAAGTCGATCCGCGGATCAAATATGGCCGACCCACTTAAAAGCAAGCCGCCTAATCCCCTGATGAACTCCCTGTGGAGGTCTAGCAATTTAATCTTAGATCCATTTTAATTTAGCATTTTTTGCTAGGCTCCTGCAGGGATGGCGGTTGTGGTAGGCGGAGAGATTATTTGACATTGCTTTCCAGTGGTGTCGGATATGATAACCCGCGTACTAGTTCGTCCGAAGATAATCTGTTGTAAATACGGCCTAGGAAAGACAAGCTGCGTTATACATTGTGCCTGGTACATGTAGAATACACTAGCTATTTTTAAAATCAAATGTCAAATGTCCCTCTTTCAGTAGTGGGATGTGTTAACAGGAACCAGACAGGAGATGAAAATGGTTTGATACGATGACATAGGATTTGCCGAATCAAAAAAACATTATTATATAAATCACTCTCACGGCAATGTGCATGTACTTGTTAATAGACTGTAATGGCAATCTGGAAATAAGAGCATATTTGACATAGCAGATGACAGTTTAAGTGAAATCCACATGACATCAACTGGATTGAGCTGTTTTTGAGTGCGCCATTCCCCAGCATCGATATACTGTTGCTTTATTAATTACCTCTTACTTACAGTTGCTGAAGTGCTTTGTGCTAATGCTTTGTACCAAAACACGCAAATGGTCAATAAATACAAATGCCAAAGTATTATCACAGGGATTATTTGGTTTAAAATTGACCGAGCCTAAAGCACACAATGTGCCACAGCCATTTATAAAGCAATAAATATCATGGAAAATTTAACCATTTGCCCTAAACCACCAAGGCGTGGTCAGATTATCCAAAACTGTTGAGGTACATGTACTTTACCATCTATCGGCCCATTTTCATGTGACTCAAAACTTTAGAAGCTTAGAACTAAGAAACAGGTATATACATGTATATACAGTAGACATTAAATTTGCCAACTGTTTTTGACACGGCTGAGATATGCAGGATTTTATAACAAATATTATATTTAATTTTTTTTATTTACTTGTTTATTTTATTTTATTTATTATTATTATTATTTTATTATTTTTTGGCTGTACAGAGGTCGAACGAGAAATGTAGAGTGTGCCTTTAACGGAGTGAAAGATAAAGTCAATTGGTCAACTCACCCAAACAAATCTTGGGTAAATTTTTAGCTATTTTCTTTTAATGTAATTAAATGTGTATTTAATGTACGGACTTGCTGGATAGAAACAAAACAGACCAAAACACCAAGAAAAGAAAACAAAAAAGAAACACTACATACTGCTTGACGCTTCACGCAGAAAGCCATAGAAAATCTAGTTCCACGCTAGGGTCCGTTCCAATTGATGATCGCACTTGCGTGATTTGGATTCCGTAATTTCAAGCTGTCTACAAGGAACCCTAGTAATTTCAAGTAATTTGTATAGGTGATTGATATACCTTCTTTGCACATCAAAAGTAAGGCAAATGTAAACATTTGGCCTACTTTGATGACTCGGACTATTCGAAACATTGAATTTACGAGTAGCTCACCAAAACATGGCAGCATGGTCAAGAGTGGCCTTGTTACTTGTTTCTTATGGTAACAACCACCTCTTTTTCTCTTTCTGGTGTAATAACGTTAACACTGCCAGGTATATGTACATGTAACACAGCAATACTTGCAGTCACGTCCTTGCTATAACATCAATTCCACTCGCACAGTCATGCAGGCTTTCCATTTACAATGAAGCCAATTTCATCGTGCGTTTAATCTTGGAAGATTTCCAAGCCTGCAGGCCTCAACCTGAGTGCGCAGTATAATTTCACCATAGGCATTTATATCGTTTTTATTCTCAGCAAGGTTTTTATCCCAGAGATATTCTTTTGATGTTAGTTAACCTCACCCTTTTTTAAACGGGAGTAGGGGATGAGAAACGAGCCAGATAATTCCGTATAATATTTCACCTTTACATAAAATTCATCTCAATCTGTTGATTAATTTTCTAAATTTCAATATGAAGAAATGAAGGGATCGATGCGCGTTTATCAACTCTCAACAGCAAACTCCAGCTGGATGCAGGCTTTCATGCATTTAATCTACACTTATTAACGTTTATTTGTCTGTTTTTTGCATAAACTATTAAGGCACTATTATGTATAATATCATATAACCAATAGAGCAAAATCATGGATAACCAATAAAACATTCATAAATGATAACTCAGTTTTAACGACGCTGGCATCAATTTACTACTTCCAAACAAAAATGAGTGCGACCAAAAACGGCAATGCTTTTCGCTCAGTGGTACTTAACAAAATTGCAAAAGACTAATGAAAGATGAAAATATGACCACATGCTTATCCCAGTCATACTTCAATGTCGATAGATAGATAGTTAGATAGATACTTGTTAGGGTACTATCGCACCTAGCGTAAAGCACAAACGTGTGAGAAAAATTACCCATGCGCAGTCAAACGCAAAGGGTTCGTCGTACACGCAGGCAAACGTTGGTGTACGTTCGCATACCCGGAAAATGTTTTGAGCATGTTCAAAGACAATTTCATTCCCTGCGTGTATCTTCATTTTGATTTCACACACTCAAAGTTGTGCGCAGGACACCCAAACCCAAGATAGAGGTGCATTTTACATGCTGATATATTAAAAAATAATAATAAAATTGACTGGATTCGAAGTTGTATTCAGTTATAAAAACAATTTAATTCAATTTTATATATACGTTTAATTTTTACCATGTTTATACATGCCTATGACCTCATTTGCACCTCTTAATTGGGTTTTGGGTGATAATCCATGTCACATACGGTACTGAAACGTACGTCCTTACGCTAGGCGTGACAGAGCCTTAACTAACGATGTTCTATACACTTATGCATGGGAAGCTAAAGTAGAAATCATCATTGCATAAAATACATGTTTAGAAGAACATTCAGCATAGTTTTGTACGTCTTGTTTCAAATATCTTCCCATCATGAAGTAAATAGTAAACAATAAATACTCAATATTTACATGTTTCAGTCACTGGATTACAGTGGATTACAGTTATGCGTCAAGGTTGTGTACAAGAATGTCCAATAAAGCGCAAAATGTGCCCTTAACACTGACTCTATGTCATTTAACAATTTTGGGACCATCTTAATGAGCTATTTGTCTTAAGTCAATGACCTGCTATTGCATGTTATAATGATTTGACCGTTTTTACCGTTTTTACCGGGCTTACACCTTATGGTTTTCAGGTATAACAGCCCAAACACATATTATGAGCATAAAATATTGATAGGCTTAACTTTTGCCTCTATGTCTATATAAGTGACTGGTTAAGACATGTCTTCTACTTACGTAGTCACGGTAGCACGCATTACATATCAGGCAGCCACCAAGGGATGATACAATGTAAGACGCAAGAGCTGGGGGAGGGTCAGGAGGGCTAAGCCACTCCCACTTTTTAAACCCTAAGCGCAGGTAGCAGTGGTCAGCTAAGGGGGCCTCCCCCCCCCTCGTCGCCATTTTTTAGTGGTTACCCCCTCTCCCACTTTTTAAACCCTAAGCGCAGGTAGCAGTGGTCAGCTAAGGGGGCCTCCCCCCCCCCCTCGTCGCCATTTTTTAGTGGTTACCCCCTCTCTACCTAAATTTTGTTCCCATGCGCAGATGTACTAGTACGTTATCCTTATCATCTACAGGTAATTGTCTCTGTGTAAGTTTTTCTTTACTCGGTAATGTACTTTTATATAGACAATATTCGCAGTATCAATTATTTGCCTGCATGTTGGAACGTTACAACAGAAATGTGAAGTCGCGCCGATGTATGCTGGTTCGACACGTATGATTTCCACTGTCATAAATTCTTTATTTAAGTTATCGAGGCTCATAATATGTATCCATGTATGTTTAATATAACACACTGAACGGTGGATTTTGGGAAAAGCTGGAAATTGTTGCTGTGAATTAATATCGTATTGCAAATGTTACCTCTATAGTGGTTAACACAGCGTTGTCACCTGTGATTTGCCAAATAACCTGCTCGATTAAAGAGGCATCGATAACACACTTTTGGATAAAATTGTCAAAGGATTCTGACAATGCATTATCTGCTTGCCTGGCATTCGATAAATTTACATTTAATTTAAAATCTTTACCAATGCACTGAATTACGGCAATAATTTTATCACATTTGGTACAATATAAAGTTCAGAAATAATTCAATGAAGTGAGGCCATAAATATTTTAACCTACCCTTAATATTTCTCTCTGGACATAACACCTTTATATCAAAGTATCCTCAGTCAATTTGCCGGTCTGGTCGTGTCTTAATAGTCACCATAACGTTTTAGGTATATGAATTGGAATGTAGAGCACATTCAAATGGTGCGAATATCAATGGCTGCGTATATCTGTGTGGCCTTTGCATTGCATCTACGTCATCTGCATCACCTTTAGCGTAACGGGTTTTCCTAACAATCCGAAGGCTACTGCTTGGCAACTACGTTAAATTATGAGAAAAAACAAATCTGCTGCTATTAATACTCACTGCCACGTCAACCATGCAGATGGAGCGTGGCTTTCAGGCACCACGCTCAGATATTTTACAACAAAACTAGGCGACTAGTAAGCTTATTCCCAATATGTCTGCTTCACGTCGGCATCACAGTTTATCATTTTTATTTCTTATTATACTCTATGAGGGACCTGCACATACTGAATCTTCCAGTCCTGTGGTTTTCCTTCCCTCTGATACCAGGGTAGTTTTGATTAATTTAAGCCACGCCCATGTACATTAAAACGTGTAATTATACGAGTACGTTGGGAAAAAAAAGAGGCGTGTTCATCTGATTGGATTCTACGAGAATCCCTACGAAGTTAGTTCGAACTATCTAATATCCCTACGATACTTTCGTTGTGGACACAACCTACGGGTCTTAATTCTGTGAACGTTTTTGGATTTGGTATTGATCTTGGTTATTTAGGGAAAGGTATTAAAATCATAAGAGAAATTAAAATTATGTGGTAGAAATTATGTGAAGGAAAAACGCGCATTGTATGCATTTAAGGTCCATGTTATTCAGGTCAACAACGCATTTATTATATTAGTTAGCATGTGTCTGAGTTAACAAAGAAGAACATTCAGATTCACAATCCCCAGTGCGCCGGTTTCAATACAGCAGATCACCGTGCCAGGGCCTGCAAAACTGGTCGGAATGTCAGTGAACGCTAAGAGCAGGAGCACTGTGTACTTTAAAGGTGCACACAACAGGATTTTGGCGCCAAGATTCATATTTAACGAATTATCTAACCTTTAAGCTTCCTTTCCTAACTATAACTCTGTAACAATTTTTGGAAAAAGTAATTAATCAAAACCAAAGCTGAAGCGATGTTTTTTTAGATAGGGAGGCCATTTTCATGCTTGAACTCTCTTGACTTCTAAATATTGCGAGATTCTCGTGCTGCGACCTAAAACCAGTTCATGCTAGCGGGAAAAGACATCATGGAAGAAGAGGCTCAAGATGGTCCTTCAAGACGCGAAGAAAGATAACAAACATTCCCGTTTGTAAACTACTTATAGTGAATATAACTCGATTACCCGCAAAGGTTACGTAAACATTTCCTCTTTCACTTCACGCTCACGTTCTCCACTGCTCGAGTATCAATCATTATTCTGTTTGATTACATCTCGGTGCTGACTCTAGAACCCGCGTTATTTCAAACTGTGTCAAGATGGCGGGATTAGAAAATGGACGGTGAATATGATTTTTTTAGCGATATTGATTTAGCCCATTTATCTGTCATTTTACGTTTTTTAAAACGAGCCGGGGACATTAAAATGTTCCTCAGATAAGTTCAACAAGATGCAATCCATGCCCTCAGAATGCGTTTTTTAAAAATCCTATTATTTGTGGCTTTTATGAATTGAATGCATTATGCGATCGCGAGGAAACTAAATCAATCGATGTTTTCGGCATATAACAGGTGACATTTTGATATGATTCGACATTGTTTGGGGTATGAATTTTGCATTGAGCGCCAGAGGGACGTTCCAAAAGTTATTCAGTCAATACTTCAAAGTAGGCAACCAGAGGCAGCACCATGTAATAATATTTAAAAAGTGATTCAAGCCAGATTTTGAACACATTCTAAGAGTATGAAGCACTTCATGTTGAACTTAACTGAGGACAATTTAAATACCGTTTAGCCCGAGAAAATTCGTTAAAAATGAGTTTTCGGCAGAAATATCCTGTCTTCAAGTGAAATTTCATCAAATTATACACAAATTGTGAATTTGGAGTGTTTATTCTGAATTCCCCGAAGGGACTTCCGTACGCTGTTGCGTCAAAACTTTCATGTAGACTATAAAACAATGCCATTTGGGAGTTTTAATTAGAATTTTATTGAATTACTTTTTGGATTATGACTTTATTACTGAGCGCCACCGGGAAGTTACCAAAGCTTTTGCGTCATGTCTTTTATTTAAGCTACGTGTACCAGGGGCAAAACCATCATGTATATTTCCATCAATTTCTGTCCAAAATAAACTCGACATTTTACTGAACTGTCTTAAACTTTTAACTATATAAATTGCAGTTGTATCCGAAAGCTCGGTTATTGGTTCATTATATATCTCTTAGCAAAATATCAGGCCTGTCGAAAGTTTGTGGAAAAATTGTGGCAAATTTCTGCAAACTGTAATTCCTTCTTGCAAATTTGGATCAAATTAGCAGCAATAATTTTTTTCTTGCATACTCCTGCATACTCGTTGCCTCAAACTTTAAGTTTGCAGAAACATTGCTGCGAACTTTTCATTTTGCTAATATATATGTGTACGAACACGGTACTGGGTAACAACAATGGGACATGGGCATCAAAATTTCAACATGGCACTGATTGACTAGATCTTGGGAGACCGCTTTCAGCTTAGAATATGCATCGTATTTTGCTTTAAATTCGTAAATTTTGGAAAATGTAACATTAAACACATATAAATATTATTAGTTAAGAGTCGATTACCTTCACAGAGTTGGGAAAGCACGCTGCGATCCTGAATTGGCGATAAAACAGCAATGGCACGAAATCGTCTCGCGTGCGATTCACGACGAAAAGCGGGAACCGGCATAGCTGATTTGATTATTGTCATTTAATAGTAATGTGACTGGGTCATTACGTCATCAACAGAAATTTCCATACTAGCACTACGTCCTAGGACCAAATTTGAGTGAGGAAACGAAACTACACGCTGTGGTATCGATGTCGTGCATTTCTGAAGGAATCGAAACTGGGTTGGGTCATAACATCTGTGATTACACGCTCAGATGACAGGATTTTCTCACACCTTGTTGTTTTGTGAAAAGCAGAATGGATCTCGGGTATTTTTAAAAATTCCAGAATTAAACGATTTGTATAGTTTACATCTATGGGAGATAATACTTTGTATTGCAGTTGAAAACGGACACGGTAGTGATGCACAATAACCCGTTTTCTTCACCCATCAAAATTTATGACGAAGAACTATTTTTGTATTTCTCTAGTGTGTTAAATGATCCCTTTTCCACAACTTACAGCAGCAAAACAGACTGTTAAAAACAATCTGTTTCCCAGATTTTCGCACTGTTTGAGTGTCATTTTTAGCGAAGAATTAAAAAGTTTAAAATATAAAGTAATATTTAGAAACACAAAATTGTTTGTTAGAATAAGACAAACCCATCCCCTTTCACATGAAAGCCCCCCCCCCNAAGCTGAGATTAAATCTAAAAGGCTCTTATAGGCGGAAAGCTTTTGATTCCAGACATCCAAAAATCAACTGCTGATAGACCTCTCAATGTATCTGAGATTGAAATTAAGACACCTGAACCCGCCTTCTTTAATCTTCTCTACCAGCTGGAAGCCTTAGTCTTATTTCGGTAATGCAAATCATAGTTCAACGTCATTTTTTACAATTCATGAAGTCTCAAAAATAGTTTTCTTTCTGGTTACCAGAAATCGGTAGGAGCAGTAGATGTGTTTGTTTTCAACTTCAGACACAGCTGTACAGACGTAAAACCACTAATTCATTAAATTATTGATAATGGACCCCCCGTGAAGCTGAACTTTACATACATTTTTCGTTTTAACTTAATACTTCACTTCTGTGCTATGGTGCGTGTAGTCATTTTGGTAAAAACTTATGTTGATATGCATGTTGCTAATGCACTGTATGTCACAGACTCTGTATATTATAGCACAATATATAACCTTAAAAAGCATTTAAAAAAATCAAGAAAAAGTAATAATGCCTGAGGGATGAGTTTGGCCCTCCAGCAGTGTTCATGAATCAGTATCAACCTTAATGATAGATGTATTCGTGAAAAACAGACATGTGGCATCAGTTGTTCATATTGTCTTTTTGACTGGGCGAGATGAATGCTTCGGAGGCAGAGCTTAAAACCCCGCAGTAAAGGTGTCCCTGGCGTGCGATGACACCGGTGCCACGCTAATGTAGGCATTTGCATGCTGTGAATCATTGAATGCACACTCGTTTGCGCAGAAAATGACCGTGCTTTTATCCGCCAGATGACTATCGTGTAAAATGAAAAAATTCCAAGTTAGATTCTTGCTAAAAAGATGTGGTTTGTAATGCTGAAGTGCAATTTCTGAACATAATTATACGGATGTTTTGATTAACATTGAAAAAGAGTCTAACACCGCGGGCAGCAGTACAAAATAATTATGTCAAAGACAATGTAACACCTTTCAAAATACATGTAGTATGCTTCTTATCAACAACAAACAATAACTGTTAAGGGTTTTTTTCTTTTTTTTTTTCGGAAGACAGGTGTGTGCCCATTTATATGTGTAAAAGTCAATAAAACAGCTAGTCAGTGTGTTCTTAATGATTGCATTGTAATCTATCCGACACAATGTCAATAAAGCTGCAAAAATCTCACAGTTAAGTGACGACACGTTATCGCTTGAACCAACCTTTAAAGGCCAATTTGAAATTGATAGAGACGACAGCTGTATAACAATTACTCAATCCATACCCTGGGACGAAAGCTTAGTTCTCACATCTCCGACAACTTCTCAAATGACATTATTAACCTTATGCAGTGCAATCCTCTAGGGATACATTGCCAATGAATTTGACCTAAGCGGTGGACCATTATGTCTGTGGCAGTTGGGCACTGGACGAAAACTTTCACTTTTTTTTACACTACAAGACATGGGGGCGATAACTTTGAACTGTATTTGATAGTACATGTATTTCAATACTTAAGATGTCTTATATCAATCTAACTTTTTAAATATTTTTAACGCTTTGTTAAAGCGTAACTTCCAAAATATAACAATAACTAGCTATTTAAGGCATGATCTCGAACTTCTCCATGAACTAAACAATTTTAAATGTAACATAAAAGCATAATAAATACATTTTTAAAAGCTGACATTTTCTTCATCATTTGGTTTTCGATTTAAAAAACTTGTTTATTTTGATACTAAACATCCATCCCTTTAAAGATGTACTGTTTCGTTCCTCTGACGTTTTTTTTTATAAACCAACTCGACGTCATAATAAACAATTTAGGTTTGTATTCGGACTTTCATTCAGCAGCTTCGAAGTTTAACACACAAACAAACGCCAAAGCTAACCTAATTAGTATCCTGCCATCATTACACATTTACGCGTATTGTAACGTCGCATCCAGCAGTTGCAATGCTGTATTGATGCCACAGCTTCACCTGTCGCAATTCATATTTTGCGTCCTTAATAATTTGATTGTGAGCGCGTGGTTTCAACAAACTGTAATCTTTTAGACGACAATGGATATTTTTTCCTAATTACTATTTTTAATTGTCTTTAAAAGAATCATAATTTACAATATATACATCAAACATAAGCGTCCTCAAATTTTTCCTCTGAATAGGAGGACATTCTGATAAAGTCCCAGTATAACACTTCTCATTTACATCTTCACCTGATATGAATTCTGCCACCACGCTGAGTGTTACATGAGTGGAAGATCGGCGCGTCTTGGTTACGTACCCAAAAACTACAACTTATATTTTATTTTGAGATCGGATATAGCATTTTATAATTATTGGATACAAATGGTTGAAATAAATAAATATGTTGTTTTATAGACCACAAAAAAGTTATATCTGCTAACTTGCAATTTTTAAGAGTACTGTGGTGTTGTATTCCGTACGTCTTACATGTGCTGATGTTTTTAAAATATTTTGGGTCTTGGCATTGGTCTTGCAGGGCCTTTATACCATCACTATATCATGACGACGTCATGGCAATTTGACGTCTTTGAGACGTAACTTGACGTCTTTGAGACGTCTTCCTAGAATATTGTGGAGGCACATTTGAATCAAAAGAAGGCGTCCTCCCTTCGTCATAATGAAGTTTTGCAAACAGTTGTGAAACGTTTTGATAACGGTCATGTGTGGTCTTTACATTAGGACGTACGTTCTCCAGCATCTTAAAGACGGAGCATTTTATAAAACATCTTAGCGAGGTTGTATGAACATCCTCCATCCCAGACGTCTTCGCAAGACGTGTTCGTGACCATGACCATGGACTGGAGCAGTTTCACCAGAAAAATAACGGGTAGACACACAGACAAGCAGACAGGAAACCATGGCAGACAGACAGACAGACAAGCACGAACATGGATATACCCGGTATACAGGTACATGTACGCATGCTTAAGTCACGACAAGCTATGGATGGGACTCCTTCCAAACTAGGTCTAAATAGTATTTTAATTGTACGGTATGTTAAATCATTTATGGTAGAGTTAAATGGATTTTCATGTTCATAAATCAAGTACGATATGAGTAATAACACGTGAAACGAGAAGGTTATGGTTATTGTAACTTGTTGATTGCTTTAGTCAATGCTTTCCATCAATTTTCTTCGGACATTTATGGAAATGAGTTAATTTTGTCCTGGTTACCGCGATTTTCTTGAGAGCATAATACCTTGATGAGGACAGGGTTATAACTGCCTACTTTGTGTCAACATTTAGCGCGGTGTGATCTATATGTTTCTGAATACAACACCCGTAAATGCACATGTAAATGTGAATCATTGGTAATAAACATCCGTACGCGACCACTTAGACCGGCTTATGTGGATTGTGAGCTACTTCTGTGTTCAATGTGGATAAAGGGAAATATAAGCATTGTAAACAGCGCGCGAGTAACACTGTATTAACAGAAATATCAAGTCAGGCTGAGACTCAATATTGAGTCCTAGTGTTCGATGACAAGCGCATCAATAATTATCCTATGATAATTCCATTAGTAGACCACCTCAATGAATAGAGTGAGCTGTGTAAATACAATGTATGTGCTGCTGGTCGGGCTTCTGTCTAACCTAGTTAGTTACCCCCCCCCTTTTTAAAAATGGTTATGTTTCTGGTCGACGCGCGCGTCATTTTAAACCTTGTGCATTGCTCCCGTGCCACTTCTTTTGTAGGAGTCGGTGTGTAATTTGGCGCCAAGTCGGGGCGAGCAGTGAAGCACTGGCTGGAAGTATGTTTTGAACTCAAATAATAAAGTAAACTTTGGGAATTCCTAAACTTTGCGACATTTGGGTCCATAGCGTTTCTGTATATATATTGTACATGTACATATCAGGGGTATGTACATGTAGTTTACAGATTAGTTGGACACCAGGCTATATGATATATGCATAAATACATGAATAGTTTACACAATTACCGTGCATATCCGTATTTAAAGTATGCAGCTACACAGATTGGTTTTTATAGCCAACACTATAACGGCAGGCGGATGTAAAAGAGGGCAAATCATTATATGAGGGGCCTACTATACAAAATTACAATAAAATACTAGGGCAGGACACATGTGCTAGTAGGTGAGTGACTGATGCTGGACAATGTGTTTTGAATGTTTCCGTACAACAGATGTGTCTTTTGTGATCTAAAAGTCAACTCACTGGTCGCTTCACTAATAATAAACTTACGTTTATCCCAATTCAAAATGGCGGTCAATAACTCTTATTTACACAAAGGATATCAACACTGTGCATTTCAAACATGGATGAAGGTAAATTATGTTATTATTTTATCCTTGGATTGCTGAAATTAAAAAGCGACGACGCTCCCCTTAAATAGTGTTGTGCTTTTATTGTCTTAGACATCATTTGACTATAATATGCACCAGTCTACGGTGCGTTCTCAGTTTCATACGTGTTGCATGAAGCAGACGAGCGAAAAAAGGGCGAGGGACAGGAGTTGACAGAACAGGGAAAATAAGTACCAAGTATTGTTATTGAAAGCCACGCGCCTCAGCTGATTTATTTGAAACCCAGTACTAAACAGACCTTGGCATCAACTCGAAGTATGGCACACGATGTCCATTAATCGGATTAAGGATGAAACATTTAAAGTAGTTACAGAGTTCATCTATCATACATGTATATACATTGTACATGTACCATCTGTCTGCACTGTCATGTAACATGAACCAATCGATGAGTTAACTCTGAACTGTCTGAAGATATACATGTATACCCACAAAGGCTTACAGTACCAGACAAACGATGCAATTAAGGTACTCTATTAAAGTGTGAACGTCCTTTGTTTCGAGATAATCTTTTTTATCAATATATTACTCAGTAATAATAATAATAATAATAATAATAATAATGTGTAAAGTAACTAAAACACTACGATGTTACAGCTTATTTCAGTTCTTTTGAACTGACCTACTGGTAGTATAGTTGGGAATAAATGCAAATGAAGCAGGTATAAAGGATGGAAAGTTCTGTTGAATCAGTTAGTTGAATGAGTCTGCTTACAGTTAGTTGGTCAAAGTACGTGACTGTGGGCCTTTTGAAACAATTCTTCGCAGTGGTTCACGGAATTCTGGCAAACGGATGGCATACAATATAGGATTCAATCCGCAATTGCCACCAGCCAAAAAGTTGAAGGCATTTCTCATGACAATGGCATTAGTCGAATAAGGCGCATATGAAAATGAATGCACAGCAAGAATGACTATGAAAGGCGCCCAGCATAGAAAAAATCCAATCAGTATGAGGGCAATGGTCTTTGTCAGTTTAATCTCACGCTGTTGTGCCAATTCTGTTGCCGACGGCCCAACGTTATCTGGACCAACTTGGCGCCTGTTTCGAATTTTCACCATGACCAATATTCCCATGTAAAGAGAAAATATACTCATAGCTATGAGAAAGAAGGGCAGAACCAACGTATATGAAATATACTCCTCTGTAAGCACAAGTGAAAATTCACAATCCCTGTCACTTTCGAAGGACCAGTTTTTGTGCCATATAAAAGGTAAGACGAACCCAAATAAAAACGATGGCACCCACACCATAATTCCAGTTATCCATGCAAACCGTCGAGAGTTACTGACTTGGTGTTGTAACGGGTGAACGATAGCCTTGTATCGATGCACTGTTATCATCAGCAATGACAACAGTGAGGCCATTCCTGGAAACACATTCAAGGAGTACCTTAGTATACACGAGTAAATGTTTTCTGACAATGACGTGTCCACAAATGTCGTTATATGATATGGTACGGCCAGACCGGCGACGAAGTCCGTCACTGCGAGGTGGATGATCATCAGGTTACCCTTCGTTTGTAATTTTCGCACGTAAAAGTAGACGGCTATCACGTAGCCGTTTCCGAAACAAATAAGAAACATTAAAACCGACAAAGTAGATACAACAAAGGCTTTGTACCAATCGGTTTCGAAGTATAAGACATCTCCATGTGAGTGGACAAATGTAGAATTCACCACGGCAGTAGTAAGAGAGCCCTGGCTCGACCCGCTGTTCACATTCATTCCGTTGATATCACACTGTTCTGTTTTGGAACTAACTGTTGAGATCTATTTCTGAATTTGTTCTCTTGCCACGCGTTCGGAGGGAAGTGAACAGAGAGGAAATGATGTATCAATCCAGATCACTTGTTAGCCTCTTAAAGGAAAGCTTTTTACTGATTAAATCTTCTTTCCACGTTAATCAATAAAACACAATTCTCCACAGTCACTGTCAATACACGTGTAAAACACTTTGTGTCGCTGAAAGGCTCACCTGAAAATGTACCGAGGGTTCCGATGGCCATCTCTGCTGGAAGCAAACCAATCCCACTAATGCCTTTGAATAAATGAAACCCTTGACATTATAAATTTTGACGCGTCCAATAATGTTCTGGTTACTTTGGAAACACGCTTGGAAAATCGCTCAACCGGTAGAAATCGACCTTAGGTGAGAAGTGAATGTGTTTGATGTCATCTCAGTAAACTCATGGTTTCATCTGGCGATAGCTTGCAAAGCCCTACAGCATTAGTCACGTAATAGACAAGAGTGAATATTCAAAATGAATATGCTAGTATGCAATAAAACTTGGGCGAAACGTTAAATGTAAATCAGATATCAGACATATTGTAACAGTCACTTCCATGCAGTAGATTCGATTCAACAATTCTTATGTAGGGTCTTAACAAAATTGTTTCCGGTATTTACTATAAGGTTTTAAAATCTAGAATTCCAGTAGGTGGTAGTAGGTGGTATTAAAAAGTATGTCTTTAAAAAGTATGTCTCATGGTCTTATGTACATGTACATGGACGTTACTTCATTTTGCTGCAATGCAGACGATTATATTTCAGGTACAAGAGATGAGGATTGTCACACTACATTATATGTACCATATATTTTAATTACAAACGTTAAACTTTGTGGAATTCCGGGAGATAGGTTGTTCGTTATGCGGAAGAGTAATCAATACAAACGTCGTACTACAACAATTGGAAATGTAGCGAAATATGAAACCAGTTTATTCCTCAACGACCTGTCCATAGCACGGGTAACCTCTTACTTAAACATTAATATATTTTCTTTTTTTAACATATTTATTATCACATAAGTATGCATACATACAAACAAACATACGTACATATGTATACATTTTACTTAATTAATTATATCTCAGCTATGGGTTACACTGTACCTCAAAGAAACCTGTGTGCTGTTACCGTAACGAATTTACCTATACTGATGCACCTAGCTGTACTTCATACCAATTCCACATCTATCAGACACATATTCATGAGTACTTATTTGTCCAACACCACATAATGGTTTGTCGATACAAAAAGAAAATGTGAGCACATGTACATGTACTCGTATACTCGTAGGACAAGCCATCACTAAGGTAGGATGCATAATCATGATAATTGCCAAGTTATATACTGTACCAAGGCTGATATTCATTTCCATGGTAATCAAGCATGTTTACATACATATAGGAGCATTTATAGTGGATATCAGCCTAGTTCGTTTCATATGACAAGTATAATTTACTCATTAAGGAGAAGCGTTATTACAAGTGGAGATACATACATTGCATACATGTATAAAAGGCACTTTGCCAAAACGTGCCTTTAAAAATGCCAAACTGTAGACATGAGTAATAATCCGCCTGATTGTTTCTGGTTCAAAGACTTACTATTCCTCCACATACTGCAAGTCATACAAAGATAACAGAGTACAGTTTCTGAGAAAATAACTGACGAAGATGATGTCCAGCTGATATTTGATTTTAGGATATAACAGTGCTTACACTAGACATAAAAATTAGCTGCAACACTGAGGGTGTAATATTTTGTGTAAGGCTATGGGTTTTTGTTATTCTTTCAATATATTACTTAAAAATACTACTTCTGGAAGCTACCACCTACATGCACACCACATTGACAATTTCGTCAGTAGTGTGCATATGCCTCTGCTGCACTTGTGGTTCAACAGGAACATTTGACACTGTGCTTAGTACACGTAAGTGGATATTTTGAACCAATTTCTGATCAGTGAATCTTTTGATTTTCTCATTCATTTTGGTACATAATGACAAATTCAAACTGAATTCATGCTAATGTATAAAAATGTATCAGGTTAGTTGAGAAAAAAACGTACAAAAACAAATCGGTTATGAGGCTCCTTTTATGTGACCTACATGTAATTTTTAACCTAAGAAATCGTGCATCATTTTGACTTTTTTCTTTTTATTGGTGCATAAAAGCCATTTTTCTCTAGGTAAGTTTATGTGGATTTATCTTTCAAAGTATCTTTATAAAGAACCATTAATCTGTATTAAGATTCAGTAACAAAGGGACATTTTTGATAAAGAAAGAGGCGTGTATAGTATAGTTTATTGCCGAATCAACTTGACATAGGCATATAACCATAAAAAATATAACATTTGTGGTAGGTGGAGGTGGCAACCACTGTTGACATATTGGAGTACCTAAAAAGTGGTGGATGGACAGACTTATATATCTTTAAAAAAAAATAAATAAAAAAAATAAAAAAATAAATAAAAATAAAAATAAAAAAATAAAAAAAAATATATGCCCATGCAGGCAAGTTTTGGCAAAGGGTCATATGAACGGACATAAGACCAATTAGTTATTTCGCTCTCGCTCTATATATAGCTGAGCAATGCAAAAAAATCAGGTCCTTAAACCATTTTATTTTTATTAAATAATATTGCCTTGAAGATTAGTTAAAATTCAGGTTACATCGGGCAATTTCCAAAAACTCAGCATTGTGTATTTTCATTTTTTATCAATCCTCATTGTCCTTGGGCTCAAACACTGGTTTGCGCCATTGGAAACCTAATGGAAATACTGAATTATCGGAAAAAAAAGAGCAAATCCACTGAAGAAATGACATTCCTTGGTGCTTTATAGCGCTTGACGCTGCAGCCTTCCTCGCCGTCTCTTCATTAGGATCCGGGCCAGCTGGATCAAACGTGAATTTCATGCATGGTTCCTCATCTGGGACCACTTTGAATGAACGATCCCATATAATTTCACAAAAGTTGGAAGCTGTCCTGTACATGGCTTCATACGTCCTGCATTCCGCACCAGCTTTGCATACGTTTAATCCTGAAAAAAATTAGTGATATTAGCCTAATATTAACCTAGGTTTAAAATTGTTTATTTATTTATTGATTTATTTATTTGTATTTGCGCTGATGTATTCCAATATTTTCTTTTATATTGAAGCAGTCAACTGGAGCAGCGTCACATTGTCAAAAGAGAGTTAAGTACTATAACACATTAGACACGTTTTTATTTACAAATATTTACTAACATGAAGATGAATTAAATATACCATTTTCATCTCTATCAAAATCAGTGTACCAATTTTCGTGACAAGTATATTCTCCTTTGCATGCCTCCCACCACGAGTTACACTCACTGGCGCACAATGGAACGTCTGTGAAGCGGTCGGTTACAGGTTCGTCATGTGTCTGAAAAAATTAGGATATGTGTATAACATCCTAAAGCTACGCTATGCAGGTACAGTGTAACCTATTCTATTTAATATATGATGATAATATATAATTATCTGTATTTGTTTGCTCATATTCAACTTTAGTGTAGGTGTAACAGAGAAGAAAATTTGGAAAAGCAAGGAATGTGGGTGTCAGAATGCAGATACTGGTCCATATGTACAGCAGTTATATTTTAATAAATTTTAAAAAATTTAAACTACTAGAAATGATGACTGGCACAGATATCGTAATTATTTGAAGGGGTAATTTTCAAAAGTGTGTATCATAGGTATGAAATTTACAATTGCATATTTTCATTTAACAATATTGTCTTGACTCAAAATGGAGTCATAAGGGTCGCACTCACCGCGGGGGCAATCCATGGCCCAATATAAGGTGAACACAGGAAAAAGCAGAGTTCATCGAAAAACATCTTGTGACACATCGGCGACAGACTGCTCTTCTGTGGACAGTGGACATAGTTGGTGATGTTCTGCCAGTTTTCCTTTGTCTCAAAGTCCTCTGTCACACCCGCTTTACAGCACGACTTCTTCGTATACTGGGGACACTGAATTTGTTTTGGAAAGTCAAATATAAATTAATTTGACACTATATGCATATGAAATACATGATAATCAAATTTGCATACTAAAAAGCAGATCGAAAAAAGTAATATCTTACGTGCGATATCTTGAATAAATGGATTTCAAAATAAAATATATAAATTAAGACATTGAAACTATAGCATAAATCCATGCTGTGCTTTTGGTTATAAGGTTTCCATCATCAATAGAGCACGTTAAATGACAACCACCTGTCGATCAATTTTGATGTCAAACAGACCATTGGAAAGCCAATGGTGCATTTTAAGATGTTGGATAGACGAAAGTGATGGATAGACTTTGACGCTCTGGCGGATCTCGATTAATACGTAATACTCCACGTGTTCGTCGGGATTTTTCGTATTTATGAGACCATAACACGACAATTGATAATTTAGTTAAGCAATTCCCTCCTAGTTTGTAATATGTATTTAAGTCTTTGAGCAGTTTAGTGACCTTAAGAACTGGTTTTCTCTTGGTTGCATATGCGGTTACAAAATGCGGCTCTAGCCTTCTCTGCGTCGTAGTTGACATCATTTCATGGACTGTTTTTCAAACCGAAAAGGCCCGCTCCAATAGTTTTTAAGTTGTCCCTCAATATCGTTCATACCATTTCCACAATTGTGAGTGTAATTTATGTGTATAGATTTTGGTTAAAAAAGCCTAACATAAAAAATATTTAAGACCGTTAACCACACTATATGTCCTAAGTCGTCAGTAAAAAGCATACATCTTTGTCTTGCGGAACAATTAATAACCTCAGTACCAGTTAGTAAGGCCTCTATTGCCGGTGTAACGTGACCGAGAGTTCCCTTAATAGAGTGACCGTTTCCCATTAATTTGTACATATACAGGTATGCTTCGCCCTAGGTTTAAGAGTTTTGGTGTAGAATCCCTTACTTATACCAAGAATTAGATCTTATTCCTTGGACATATCAACTTGGTTATACCAACTGGTTATTATTCTAAGTAAACTTCCTCTATTACCTTAAAATATCACTCTAACCATTCACTTTTAATACTACTAAAATTTATCTTTTGAAACCTATTATGAAACTTCTTATCTCGCTTTTCATAGCAAATACTGTATTGGTAAACAGAAAGCCTGCATTTTTGTTTCCCTCTTTTTCCCCCCAGTAATTACACACTGGCCGCGCTGAGAAGTAATAAATGACACGGTAAGGTGTGGTTAGGGTGAAACGTACTTTTTCGTGTCTTGCAGTAATTAGACATTTCATCTACCTCGAGTCCGGGTTCCGGGGACGGTTTGCTCTTGCTGTGTGATTTCAACAGCTCCATGCATGTGTCCAGATAGTCGTCTGCAGTGCGGAGCCTTGAGTCGGCGACATGTAGTGCCTGCCATATCAGAATAACGACAAAGAAAGTCCACATCGCTTGAGAAAATTGGTCACCAGCCATTAAAACCAGGGATGTCTCTTCCGACAAATACAGTAGTGTCTAAAATCTACTACACACAATCTAGGGCCCCTCTTTGTACGGATGATTAACAGACCATACAAGTAGCACTCCCCTAGCAACCCCTGCTGCGTATATCTCACATTCTTTATGTAGTGTGTAGTATTGCCATGGTCAACATTTGAAAAGACGAATGCAGGGGCTGTGACCTTGGTCATCTTCTTCTGTTTCTTATTTTTTTAAGTCAGACACTGCCCGTTCAAAATGTCCTTGAGTGGCCCTAGTGGTCGGTTCAGTGTTTTATTCACCCAATAGACTGAAATCCATGCATCTCGAATTGCTGAAAAAACGTTTAATATCAAACTTGAAGATAGCATCACATGCTGTATTTAGGTCATAAATATTTTTTAAAATATTTAAAAATATTCATTTAGGTCATACATGTAAACACGACACAGCAGTTAAGCATGAGAGAGCTACAAAATACATTATTTAAATTCCTGACTTGAGGTTTTTACCTGATGTATAATTCGGTGCAGACCTAATATCAAATGTTTTGTAACTGCAATACGTGCAGTAATTACAGGGTAGAATAGATCATAGTGAGATGTGTTCATTTGTCACATGACACACAGATATAAGGTTCAACTTCCGCCCTGACATTTTCAGTTCAGCGACACGGGTCTCCCCGGAACAAACCTTTTTATGTTTAAATTAGTTTTAATCAGTTTAAATCAGTTTAATTCAGTTTCATTTCACATCAGTTTATGCAGCGAAATACAATATACCCACTCCAAGAAAGTTTTTGAGTTTTCCAACGGTACGGTCACGGTAACACGTTTGTTCTAAAAATGATCCTTATTTATTCCTTTTACCACATGTAAATAACCAGTGACCAGGGCAGTGATACAAATATGTGCGAGTCAGGGCGCATATTGCAAAACATTAGCCATACAACGAAGCAAGGGATACACGTAACGGCTCAAACAAAAGAAAAACAGCAGCATTTTAACGTATATCTAAAGGTATTTTGGATTTAGAATTTGACAAAGATGGTCAATGTCCAATGGAAATATGTGGACGACCAGAATCCCGCCAGAATCCAGTAAATTTTAATCATGCGAATGTCGCAAATAGAGAAAGGTAAGGATGTGTCTTGCGTTCAAATTTTGTGACTCATTTTTCACTGAATGCAATCCTTTTTATCTCTAGTATCGTACGTCACCTTACATTACTTTCTATAATTTTGTGTAATACTTTCTAATTAATGAAGCAAAAAAAAAAAATTTCTGGTTGGTGATGTGATTATCACCAGCTGTCTTGTTTCTTTTACTTCGTCCTTTTAAACGTCTTTACTTCACATGATAAATGATAATCTCCAAATATAATGCTATTCTCTTATAGAGCAAAAAACGTCCGCCAGTTTTTGTGCGTTTGTGGCACAATAATTCTCATACTTCACACCTATAACACGTGCAATTAAATATTCACAAATTCTTGTTTTATCCTAAAATTGAAATAAAATATTGAAAGAATCTACCATATGAATACATGTACACTATATTTAATAATGAACAAGGGGGTATTGCACAGTGTTCGGAATACATGTACTTGCATATTTCAAATTATCTTTGGTGTTTTACAGTGCCTGGATATGCCTTAAAACCTTAAAGGTCGTTGTATAGTATTTTGTGGAAAGACTTCTTTTAGTCCGTCCGTCCTTTTTCCCTACCAAGGCTGCTTAATTATCTTTTTTCTACAACAAGCAAGGTGATAGGTAAATAGAAAACCCAAACAACAATTCTAGTTTTGTATAAAAAATAATTTATCATGTACATGTACAAATTGCCGCAAAGAGTTGTTCGATCTATATTTTTCAAATCATAACAGAGCACATACTATGCATATCCAATACAATTCAACATTACAATTATCTTTATTATCTTGAAAAAATGGATATTTCTCAGGCATTAACTCCAACATTTTATTCACAATTCTAGATTTTTGGAGCACTTCAGCTGACGATGACTCTGTCATCACAGTTCCTCGTGCATTTTTGCACTTGTCTCTGCGACCATTCTCGCCGTCGCTTCATTAGGATCCGGGCCAGAAGGATCGAACGTAAATTTCATGCAAGGCACTTCATCTGGGACTACCTTAAAAGAATGATCCCAAATTATTTCACAAAAGTGGAAAGCTGTCCCGTACACGTCTTCATACGTCCTACACTCAGCGCCCTCTTTGCATATGTTTAATCCTAAAAGAAAAGTTAAATATATTTTAATATTTATACTTACTTAGTGATAATAGTTTTAACTAGTCAATCACGCAAAAGACATTGTTTTTGAAAACCACGACCCCACTAGACAAACCTACTGGTGCCACGCATGGCCAGAAATGCGCAGCATTCACGCGATACGCGAGGGCGCTACAGTAGGGCTTTACCTGACTCAACTAGCCAATCACAGCACAACAATGGCATCGCACACAGACTCTGTGATAAGTGCTCAGCCCATTGTCAAGTAGTGTTAGTTCATGGTAACAAGGGTCTGACATGTGCAGAGAAGTTTATTGTAATATATATTGTTCTTATTGTTACATTATTAAATCTAACTCTGTAGCAAGTAGCAACTATACTGTACCAAGTCAGGTGCTGATGATGTGCAGAGGTCATATATTCCAGAATAAGCCATTACCACTAATTTATAACTTTAATTTTGTTTAATATGTTATTCATGAAAGAGTTTATGAAATATTATTTTAATTTATTAAATCGTGATCTTATTCTTTTTATATTCAAATAATTGAATAATGTGGGTAAAATTGGTCTTCCACTTCTTATTTGCATTTTCCTTTACTACAAGATTAATTTGGAACAGTTGCAGCTTTAAAATTTAAAATAAATAGCAATCTGAAAGAAGAATTTTGCATTATTATTAAATGATGATAGCAATTTTGGATTAGGAGATTAGTTAAATAATGAGTAGTGACATTGTCAGTCAATTATGTAGAATCTGATAATATGATGGAAAATACTGATTGAATTCTTGGCCTTGCACTGGGCAGTTTCACATTTGTGCCAAGTGCATTTTTTGGACCCCATTGTACAGTGGTAAAAGTTCTTCAATTGCCACGAAAGTTTTTAATCAGACTCTGTATGGTGCTGCTATCTGCTGGTGCTATCGGCAACGAATTAGTTTGCCTTTGTTTCTGAGTGAATCTACCGTCTAAAATCACTATTTCTGAAAATATGTGCGTTTTGCTGAGGGTAGGCTAGGCAATACACGTCAAACTTCTTAGTACGTGTGTACAACAGATTTTTTTAAAAAACCCTAGCGATATTTGGTCAGGAGATGCTTGAAGCATAGCACAGCATTGCTGTCTATCGGCATCAGGCCGTTAGTTTGTCAATTATCACGAATTACCCACGAATCGCGAACCTAGTCATTTTCCTATGGCAATCTAGCAACTCATTAAAAGTGCACGCATGCGCAGTGGGCTAAGCGTGACGTCATGCAGTGCATTTCTGGGGATGAGATTAGATTGAAATAAACGACTTTGAGTATATGTTTGTGCTGGTATATTCTTCGACCATTTATTTTGATCAAATAACGAAGATTGCGACGCTTCGGCGGCACACATATAATCCGATTTTTGATACATAAGTCATCAGTTAAATAAAAAGTAAAGAATTTACCATTTTCATCTCTATCAAAATCAGTGTACCAATTTTCGTGACAAGTATATTCTCCTTTGCATGCCTCCCACCACGAGTTACACTCACTGGCGCACAATGGAACGTCTGTGAAGCGGTCGGTTACAGGTTCGTCATGTGTCTGAAACGAAGTACAAGTGTCCAATATAGTTTTATTTGTACTTAAAAGTGTAGTGCTATATTCATGTGTGAAATGATTGATTGCTGTTTCATGCTGCATGTTCAACAAATTTAGCCCTAACATCTGTAAAATGGTGAAGCGCATGCGTGTGTGTTTGAAAGAAAAAAAAAAAAAGAAATTACATATGAATCAAAGAGGGGTAAGCGCCCCCCACATGAATTATAGTACGCGCCTCAGTGAAATCAGTACTATATGATCAACAGCGATTGTCAAGCATTATTTTTCCTATTCATAAGTGTTGTTTATAAGCAAACAAAATTTCTTGACTCAAAATAAAGCCATCGTGGTCGCACTCACCGCGGGGGCAATCCACGGCCCAATATAAGGTGAGCACAGGAAAAAGCAGAGTTCATCAAAGAACATCTTGTGACACATCGGTGACAGACTGCTCTTCTGTGGACAGTGGACATAGCTGGTGATGTTCTGCCAGTTTTCCTTTGTCTCAAAATCCTCTGTCACACCCGCCTTACAGCACGACTTCTTCGTATACTGGGGACACTAAAAGTCATAAAAACATGAATTATTAAGCTAACCGTTAAACGACATATTAATGCAATCTGCTAGATTGTTTCACACGCTCAAGCAATGTCCAGGAAACAAGCAACCACCGACAAGATGCATATAGGGTACATTTAATTGCACCTGGTAGCTCTATTCCCATAGATTTTAGATCGATCTATCCCCGCGGGGAGTCTCACTAGATTACTTTCAGATAATCCGACTTAAATGTCCGTCCCGCCTACTACAAGCTGTCAGGTGGTAATTAACTTTCGTGTCCGCCCGGCTGACAGCTATTTAGCGTGAACCCCCAGGGAGTTAGGTCAATCTAAAATACCTGTAGGTCGATCTATGGAAATGGGGTGTAAACGACGGATGTTCGCCACTTAGAGAAGGGAGAGGTGACAAGGATTTAACGCTGATAAGTTTAACACACAGATCTTATCTTGTTCACCCATCGCGCGGTTGTGAGTGTGAGAGTAGAGGCTCATTCCAAAGTTACCGTTACATTTGGCATGCGATACCTCCATGGAGTCTCATCTTGTCCGTATTTTAATTTCTTTTTCGTGCGTCGTACACAACTGTACGTGAGAAGGCACGGTGTGGTTGTCCGAAAAACAAAACCGTAGCCGTAGCCCGAAATGGCCCGTAGCCGGTTCCGATTAAAAAAAATCTCAGGGCTAACAAGTTGTGAGGAGGTGCAATTGACACGTCGTGCTAACGCGATCACGTAAAATATGGATTATTCAAGGGATAGCAGCCGTTAGTTTTGGCCAAAAAACTAATTTTCCAGGAGTAAACGACGATTTTCACATACTTACCAGGTTAATGTATCTGCAAGCATTCAAAGTTAGTCCATGGTCTTTTTCTAAAAAAATATTTTTATAATAATCTCTTTGGAGATTTTTACGGAGGTATAGATAGCTATATGTATATGTACGTATAGATAAAGTCCACGTGGTCTGATGACAAGCACAGATTCCAAAATAATTGCGATAACCGCCGTTTTGGTGGTAAAATTGAATTTACTAAAATTTTATGAGTTGTTTACAATTTATGAATCTCATATGTGAAATACAAATCTCATACGCACACTTGGTATCCCTTTCAGTACGTATACTTTACTAAACCCTCTTTTCATCAAAAAAGACTATTCGAACTAAGCCCTTGGGTGACGTGTATAATGCTTACATGTATTTCCGTAAGATGCTGTTGGTTAAATAAGGGCACTACATGTAAAGTACAGGGACTGCGTGTCCTAGCTCGTACAGAGGTACACATTTAAAGTTTCTCACCTTTCGTAACTTGGTTTGTGTGGGGGGCATGTTTTTTTCTTTCTATGCATATACGCGAGTATATAAATACATACATACACACATTCTGACTTCCCTATGTTTGTAAAGTATTACAAACTTGCCTGAGACTACCACGTTGATAACACGGATAAATCACATGCACATGTACTGGTGGGCCAAGTTGATTCCAGTACGCTGTAGCTAAGTTTTACTGAGCGTTAAATGTTCAGATACATGTAAATCTCTACCTCAAGTCCGGGTTCCGGGGACGGTTTGCTCTTGCTGTGTGATTTCAACAACTCCATACATGTGTCCAGATAGTCGTCTGCGGTGCGGAGCCTCGAGTCGGCGACATGGCGGGCCTGATAGCATAAGAAAACAATGGTGAATGCCCACAGTGCTTGAGACAACGGGTAGCTA